TGCAGGCGGGGCGCGCGCGGCGGCCGCTCGGGGCTGGAGGCGCGGCGGGCCGCTGTCCGGGCGGCGCGGGCCTTGGCACAGGGGAGTTAACACTTCATGCTTCTCGCCTCCTCTTCTGCCTGGCTCTGTTTTTTTTTTTTTCCTTTCCTCTCCCTCTCTCTCTCAACCTCGCGGTCTTCCTCCCTCCGTGCCAAGTGCAAGACAGAGGTGCAGCCGGGCTGGAGGAAAGGGAGGGGGGAGCGGAGTTCTTTCTTGCCTTTTTTTTTTTTTTTTAAAGCGAAATAGCGAAGTCCTGGGGAAAGGCGAGGCGGAGAGCAAAAGGGGAGAGGCCGAGCCGACGAGCAGCTCGAGCTACAGCTCGAAGATGAAAAAAAGATTTTAAAGCCTCTGAACCAGCAAGAAGAGTTTAAAGCAATTGCTGAGTTTTATAGCACTTGTGACGTCAGGCCCAAAAGGGAAATTGACTGGTACTCCGGACCAATGGGAGGCGGCGAGAGCGGCCGCGATTAGCATAATATAGAAACAAGGAAACTTTTCCGAGCTGTCAATCAGGGCCCAATCAGCTGACTGTCAGCTGGGACTGGCAGTCTTAACCCTTTCTGTGCCGCAGCCTCCTCGGGAGGTTGCAAAGCCCGGCGCAAAGTTTGGTGCAAGAGGGGAAGGAGTTTTCCAGGGGGACTGCGGAAACCCGGGTGGACCGGCAGGACGGTTGGCGCCCCCCCCCCCCCGCCACTCGCTCGGCCGGGATTGGCCGCCGCCCCCCCCGCCCCCCCGCACCGCCGACCACCATCCCTCGGGTCGTGAATTCGCCGGGTAGCTTTTTCTCCTTGCTCCACCTTCGGCACCCAGGTGTCCGCCCGGGGGACCTTCCTTCCCCCGAGCCTGGCAGTGCCCGGAGCTCAAACTTGGCCCAAACTCTTTGTCCCTCTCCCCGGTGCCCGCGCGCGGGTGTGCAGGGGTCCAGACGGCGCGGAGGATGTCGCCCCGCCGCGCGCCTGCCGGGGCGGTCTGGAGTCGGCGAAGAGAAAGCGCGCTTTATCACCCTTTTTAAAGGAGGTGAACTAAGTTGTTCGGGAGCCATTCCGCGCGGGGGCTGGCTGCCCGCTGGCGTCGCGTGCCCTTGCGGGGGGAGCGAACTCCTTCGCGAATTAACTCCGGGAAAGCTCGTAGTCAGGTCAGCCCGGCTCACCCTCCGGCTTCCGACTCTGGCCCGAGTTTGGCCTTTGAGATTC